GAGGCACTGAACCGGATGCTTCTAATAAACCAGTTGCATAAGGATACTGCGTTTTCTAAATTTAGTTCAGCAGTTCGTAATTTAGCCCATATTTGTAGGTTGTAGGGTTTTTTTCCCGTCCGTCACAGTCCATCATTGATCGCAGATTGACTGAGACAGGAAAGAGACAGGAAACAGCCGTGCAAGACCTGATGCAACCAGCATCAAACGAACTGTCATTGTAGTATATGTGTGTCAGTGCTCATAACTCACACGATCCCTGAATGAGTGTCACATATGAGTGCGCGCATCGGTGCACAAACACACATAGGTTCCTTCTCACTCCTGCATCCAAAGTCCCTCGGCTCACAAGCCTAGAAGAAAACAGGTACAACGCAAAGTTGACAGGCTTAAAAGAGAATATATAAACATGATGAAATTTCGGATAAAGTCCGCCACACACGCTGCCGAACAAACACACAAATACACACTGTCCTTTAGACAAATCAGACAGCTCTCGTCTCAAACATGACGGCTTTCCTTGAGCTCGCTCCATCTTGCATCACTCCTGTTTTCCCACCTCTCATTTCATCTCTGTCTGAAAGCGCCATTTGATTTATTCACTAAAATGGACCATTATTAAATAATCATAATTGGTCGGCCTCGTTATTCAACATCCATGTTTGTTCTTTTAGTAAAATTTGCATTTTTTCATCTTCTAATGCATTAACCTAGATGAGCGAGTATCTTGATAAACAAATGCAGCATAATGCAAATCACATCATCTTTATGGTAATGGACTCTTAACACCTGAATATACAAACTCTGCATTGCGATAATAACTTCTTTTTTAGTGAAGTCTATGCACTCTATGGCCATCATTGTGCTTTTCTAGGATGCTTTCCGTCTGCTTGAATAAATCTCCTAATCTGCCTGTTTTGCCAGTTAGATAATATAAAACTAATATTGTAATTATAATGATCAGAAAAAAACAATAAGAGGCCGATTCTTTTAAAACTGTTGTTTAGTTTATGTACTGTATATACAGTTGGAAGTCAAAGTTATTTGCCCTCCTGTGAATGCTTTTTTCTTTTTCAAATATTTCCCAAATGATGTTTAACAGATCAAGGAATTTTTCACAGTATTTCCTATAATATTTTTTTTTCTGGAGAAAGTCATATTTGCTTTATTTTGATTAGAATAAAAGCAGTTTTTAATTTTTTAAGAACCGTTTTGAGGTCAAAATTATTAGCCCTCTTAAGCAATATTGTTTTTCGATTGTCTTCTAATAACTATTAGACAGAACTAATAGCTAATGATAAATGTTAGCAGTAACCAGGTAATTCTCTTGATTTAATTATCTATTGAATATATATATATATATATATATATATATATATATATATATATATATATATATATATATATTATTGCAATTTAAAGGCATAACTAGGCTAATTAGGCAAGTTAGGACAATTAGGCAAATCATTGGACATCTGTAGCGAAGCAGATGCTGAGAACAGACTTGCGGATCCAAGTGCAGTTTATTCGAGATTAGTCAGGCAGGCAACAGTCAATACAGTGGCAAGCGGGTAAATGCAGAACATTCAAAAGGTGAAGTCATAAGGAGACTGGTCAGTCTTGGTTGGCAAGCAATGTAAACAAGCAAACAAACAAAGTGAAGGTCAAACACGGCAGTGCAAGGCAAAGGAAACTACATCGTGGTGCTAACAAAAAAGTGTAACAAGACTCAAAAGCAACTGGTGTGTGTGACTGTACTGCTTTTAAAATCCAAGTAATCAGTTCATAATGATTCTCCGGCTGTGTATGTGTAGTGAAACAGAAACAGGTGAGTGTGTGGTGCATAACGGGATTTGTAGTTCTTTTGGTGACATATTTGTAGTTTTCCAGCGATCTGTATGGACTAGATCGCTGGTGATTGTGACAGCAATGATGACTTGTGCTGTCGTCAATCAAAAAAAAAAATTTGCTTAAAGGGGCTAATAATATTGACCTTAAAAATGGTTCTTATAAAATTAAAAACTGCTTTCATTCTTGCCGAAATAAAACAAATATGACTATGCGGAAGAAAAAATATTATAGGCAATACTATAAAATAAATCCTTGCTCTAAACTTCATTTGGGAAATCAAAAAAGAACAAGGAGGGCTAATAATTCTAACTTCAACTGTTATATCAGGATAAGATTACATTTTAGATGAAAACAATCAAGGAAATTCCATGCAGTGCCATTGTTTTCAAATCTGATGATGATAAATCACTTTCTTGAGCATATTAAAATAGAAATACACCATTGAAATTATACTGCATTTACAACAATAGATTTATTGATTATAGGAGACTCTCTGGCTACACTCATCTAGCATTGGTCACATGGATATGCAGCAGCACTTTCAGTTTATCACCGGCGGGACCTGACCTCTATAAACACACCTCATCTCATCTCACCGATCAGCACTCGCTATCACGTGTGACCCTGCAGTATGACCCTCTCCAACAGAATATACACACGCGCATACACTCTCTTCCACACTGTGTGTTTGCGGGCTGTCTCAGCGGTGTAATCATAGTTATTTCCACATGCATTAAGAGAGTCATTTTCTCTTGCTACTGTTGAGTAAATTGGCGGTGTGCTGCCTCACCGGCCCGAGCATGTGAAAGTGTGACATCGCCGCGACAATTACGCAGCTGATATTACATCGTCCACCGATGCTTATTCTTGTTTGTAATGTCCATAAGTGAACATAATACTCACTGCCACAAAAAGCCAGATAGAGACAGGAAGACAAGCGGGGGGAAGAAAAAAAAAGTCTTTCCAGGGTGAAAGCTGGAGTGTTTTGCATGGAAAGAGAGGTATTGGTATTCCACAGGCGTGCTCAGCCGTCAGAACGAGGGAATAACCCTTTCATGTATTTTTCATGCTCGTTAACCACTCCCGTCGGGGTGCTGTTTGTTCTCTCTTCCTCTGTCTGCCTTCTCCCTTCGCTTTTTTCCACCTGCTCTGTGTTCAACTAAAACCCTCAGCTCTTCCTTTTGGGCTCTTCCTAAATTGTTGCCCACAACTCTAGAGATCTTGTGTTTGTCGTCTGTGGGTTTGAGGCTGTGCTTCTGTCTCCTGCCTCAAAGCAGACAAAGAACGAAAGAGACAGGAGGTGGTCAGATGAAATAGAAAAAAAGCTGTCTGGAGTGACTGGCTGGGATTGTTCTTTCCTTTCTTAGGTAGTTTAGAGATTGTGGGTTCAAGTTCATTCATTAATTTTACTTCAGCTTAGTTTCTTATTTATCAGGGGTCGCCACAGCGGAATGAACCGCCAACTATTCCAGCATATGTTTGACACAGTAAATGTCCTTCCAGCTCTAACTCTACTAGAAACACCATACATTCACACACACACACACGCACACACACACACACACACACACACACACACACGCACGCGCGCGCACACACATACACACACACACACACACACTCACACTCATACACTAATTTTGGTTACCCAATTCACTTATCAGCCAATGATTGGTATTGGTCTACTTTACATTATTACATAAAGCAGTGTTTCTCAACCACGTTCCTGGAGCACCACCAGCTTTGCACATGTTCCATGTCTCCTTACCCAAACACACCTGATTCATATTATCAGCTCATTAGCAGAGACTGAAAAACCTGTAATGGGTGAGACAGACAAACTAGACATGCAGTGTTGGTGGTCCTCCAGGAACATGGTTGTGAAACTGACATTTTTAGCTAATTATCAGGGCCAATTATATCCTGCTAATCCAATAAGAGCAGAAAAATGCATCAGATTTATGCTGTGTATAAAGATAATGTCTCCTGCAAGGAATTACTGTTGAATTGGGTGTCAAGAATGCTAAAAGTTATAATTATACAGAAAAGCTTTTGTTTGCAAGCCTAAAATAAATAGATATATTAATATTTTTGGAGTTCAGTCCATATGTTAGTACTTCAATATAATCTAAACTATTTTTATTTCCATTAGTTGGAGACACATTTCTTGTTTAAATTCTTAAACTTGTTTTTCATACAGTATTTATCATTTATTTTGGGAAAGTATAATATTTTTAATCAATTTTACTAAAACATTACATCAAAGTGCCTTTAACTAATGTAATATTCATTCATTTTTCTTCGGCTTATTGCCTTATTTATCAGGGATCACCACAGCGAAATGAACTGCCAACTATTCTAGCATATGTTTGGGGATGTCCTTCCAGCTCTAACTCTACTGGCAAAATCATTCACTCTTGCATTCACACATATACTCACACACTATGGCCAATTTTGTTTACACAATTCACTTATTCAATTCAATTCAATTCAACTTATCAGCCCTTGACTGGTATTGGTCTACTTTAAAATACATACATCATTACATAAAGCAGTGTTTTCCAACCGCATTGCCGGGGGACCACCAACTCTGCACATTTTCTGTGTCTCCTCAACCAAACACACCTGATTCAGATCATCATTAGCAGAGACTGAAAGACCTGTAACGGTGGTGGTGACAGACAAAGGAGACATCCAAAACATGCAGTGTTGGTGGGCCTCGAGGAACGTGGTTTAGAAACACTGACTTGCAGTACATTTTTAGCTAATTAACAGGGCCAATTCTATCTTGCTAATCCAATAAGAGCAGGAAAACACATTAAATTTGTGCTGTGTTTAAAGCTAATGTGTCCTCCAAGGAACTACTTTTGTAGTAAGTGACAATAATGCAAAAAGTTATAAATATACAGAAACGCTTTTGTTTGTAAGCCTAGAATAAATATAAAAATAATTAATGATTTCTTGTGTGGCCTGGTAAAGGACCACTGCCTTATTGGACCCCAATAGCCACAAAAGGCTCTATAAAAGCCTGTGTGTTTCACCATTTATACTATTATTCTCCTTCATCTTCAGTTTCCTTAAAGAACAAGCAAACAAATGTTTTTTATTTGGCAAAATATTCATAATTTCCTAATATTTGTGTGTTTCAGAACGGAGTCTGTCGCTGAGAAGATGCTAACCAACTGGTTTGCTTTCTTACTTCACAAGTTCCTGAAGGTAACTTTCTTCTTTGACTTCTTTGCTGTAATAGTACTAGTCTCATGTAGACAGACTGTTGAATCTCAGCATGAAGTCTGGTTCACTCTGGAGCTTATTCCTGGCTCCGAGCCGTCCAATTATACAGGAAGCAGCCCGTCATGTCATGATCAACTAGAGTTTGAATGTTTGTAGGAAATAATTTAAATAATTGGAGTCTCTTCAAGCAGTCTGCTGAAAAAATATCAAAGACATTAATGTGTCTGGACTTAATGGTTGGACTTTACATGTTTAATGCTCAAGGATATCCTGTTTATTTGCTGCTGGCGGTAAGTGCCTGGAAGTAATATATCTTTCTCTCTGTGAGGCAAATCCAGTGAGTAGTTGTTGGCAGAAACATTTGTAGTAGTAACCTGGGAATTATAGGAAATTTGAAATTGCATAAAGTCAGAGAATCAGATTTTGAGAAAGCTTGGTCAGAAATGAATACAGTGGTGCACAAGTACACGTGATTACACAATAAACTGTACACATTTATGTGTTACAAACATTTAGTGTAGTCATTTGCTTCATTGTTGACATCTGAAAGAAAAAATGAACTTTTAAATAGTACTTTATTAAAAAAAACTAACTACGTCTTTTGCCTCAATAAACTCCTAATTTGCTGCTTTTTAATAGGTATTATGGTAGTTAGGTGTGTAACACTGGATTCAGGTTGATAACAGGGGTAAGGGTCCAAACGCAGTTTATTATTAGGTTAGTCAGACAGGCGGTGGTCAAACAGGAACAAATCATAAGGGTAACCAAAAGTGTAGTAGTAGTCAGGGGCGGACTAACCTTAGGGAGCTCCAATCCCCTGCTCGACACTTACCGATCGACCACCTCCCACCCCGCTCTTCACTTACCGATTGTCAGAACTAAACTACCCCCCCACCACCACCACCACCAAAACCCCCAGGGGCTAAGCTATTGTAACTTTTTCCGGGTGAAAATGCTGTCCCAGTCTGCCCCTGGTTGTAGTCAAAGGCAAAGAGGTCAGTGCAGACAACAAACAGAATAAACAAAAAACAAGGATCAGGAAACTATATATGGCTGACGCAAATCTGATGTTTCAACACGGTGTCAAGATCCCAAAGCGCAAGTGTTTCAAACCACTGCACCGAAGCATGATCCGAAACACCAGGTCACGTGAATAAAATGATTCAAAGCGCCAAGATCACGTGACTAAAGCGATTCAAAGCATTGCTCATTTCAGAAGTGTTTCAAGACCTGACGAATCTGCATTTGATTGACAGGGTCGGGAAAACACTCTATGCCATGTAGCTTAGTAAAACATGCGTGTGCACAGAGTAAATAGTGTGAGCTTCATGTGTGTGTAAACGTGGAATCAGGAACTGGTGTGTCTGAGGTGCATAATGGGAGTTGTAGTTCATTGTAGGTCATTGGTGATCGTGACATTAGGTTTAGGTATTGGGTAGGATTAAAGATGTAGAATAAGGTCATCTAGAATATGTACTTTATATGTACTAATAAACAGCCAACATCTTTAGGTAATAAGCCAGCAGTTAGTATTGAGAATTGTAACTTAAACTAAAAATGTTACCAACATTTGAAGCAGATGTCAGCTATATTGTCAAATGATTTGTTTAAATGATGTCTGCTTGTAATTTTAAGAAATGGTATAATTGTTTAGCTGTTTTTATTTCAATTGTGTGTAAAATTTCTTAAATCTCAGCACAACAGTTTGATTTAAGTTAAGGTAATATTGAATTTTATTTATATAAAAACTGTTATATTACTTGTTTTGTTCAAAATTTAAAGTTTAAAAAAATAACTAGTTGGAAATTGAAATCCACTTTAAATGTATTTTATGGATAATTTTGATCCACTTAATCAATCCTTTATGAACAAACTGGTAACTCTTTAAAATAATGGTCCATTAGTTAATGTTAGTTAATGCATTAACCAGCATGAACAAACAATTATATACATTTATTATATTCATTTATTATATATTTATAAATAAATACATTTATTATGGTATTTATTCGTCTTTGTTGACGTTAGTTAATGTTGTTTCAGTTAACTCACTGTGCACTAACGTTAACGAGCGCAACTTTGGATTAAAATTACATTAGTTAATGTTGAACTATAATTAATAAATGCTTTACGATATCATTCATACTTAGTTAATGTTAGTAAATACATGAACTAATAGACCATAATTCTAAAGTGTTACCAAGCTTCAGTATCAAGAAGTAGTAGTAGTAGTTTGTTATTACAAAGAACATGTTTCTTAATGAAGTAATGCTTGGTGTGTGTGTCTACAGGAGTGTGCAGGTGAGCCACTCTTCATGCTGTACTGTGCCATAAAACAGCAGATGGAAAAAGGCCCAATAGACGCCATCACTGGAGAGGCCCGATACTCCCTCAGCGAAGACAAACTCATCCGACAGCAGATCGACTACAAGACGCTGGTCAGCATCATAATTACACTAACTACTTTAGTATCTCATGAACTCTGATGAATGTCAGAGTATATGCGTATGTGTGTGTGTGTGTGTGTGTGTTTGAAAGAAGACAGTCTGGCAGAGGGAGACTAGTGTTCATTAGTCTCTCATACCCTGCTAAGGCTGAGATTGGGGTCCTGCAGAGGGTGTGAAATTAGATTTCTCGGGCCAGGAAATGGCCTTTTCCAGAGCCCCGCTCCGCACCTACGGCTTCACCCACCACAGCCCAACATCTCATCATGCTCATCCTCTTTTTTTCTGCCCTCCAGATCTTAAACTGCGTCAACCCAGAGAACGAGAACAGCCCGGAGATCCCGGTCAAGGTTTTGAACTGTGACACCATCACGCAAGTCAAGGAAAAGATTCTGGATGCTGTGTATAAAAACATGCCGTATTCACAGAGACCCAAAGCTGTAGACATGGACCTGGGTGAGTGAAGTGTGCTTAGATTAGTTCTGTGCCAAAAAGATTTGCCTTGCAAGCTGGTAAATGTGGTATTGCTTTTAAACAACAATACCAAGAGGTTATAATAATACTGGTTATATAAAAATAATAATAATAATAATACTGAACATTTATTTTGCAATGTTTTTTTTTTTACTAAAAATAGTAACAGATGCAACATGTAGCAGACAAATGCAACATTAGTGCCATTCCCAAAAGAATAAGTGTTTTGGAATAGTAAATATTTTAGTGTGAAATCCCTGCAGTATTAAAAGGAATTGTTCACACAAAACTGAAAATTACCTCAATGATTTAAATCGATATAAGATTATTTCTTCTGTTGAACACAAAACAAGATATTTTGAAAAACCATTGTTGCTGGGACCATCGACTTCCATAGGGAAACAAAAATACAGCATAGGCTCATTCTGAAACCGTAGCCCAATTTACATTTCTGGAGATCGCAAATTATGTAGCCAGAATTACATATGGCTGCATTTTGTCTTTAAAACGAACACTAAGGTATGATATGATGCCGTTCCTTTCCGCGCTTACCAGCTGATAGCTTATCTCCATGTGGACGGCTTTCACTCTGTAACCAGTTTGTCCAGTAGCTCGCCATGTACGTCAGCAAACTTGAGACGCAGAGAAGAGTTGACCATGATAGGGGAGTTTGAATCTATTGAAGAACGGTTTCGGAAGCGGCCAAGACAAAAACTGAAACCAAAAGAAAAAAAAACTATTAAACAACAGGGTGAGAATATGGTAAAATCTGGAAACGTGGTAAAAATCAGGTTAGAGCTTTACTTTTTCTGTAATTGCTTTTTTAAAACTTTCGATTGGGTTAAGAGAAGTGGAAGTTAGCGCCAATAGCCTAGTGGTTAGTGTGTCAACACATAGCACCGAGGTGCTTATGGCAAGCCAAGTTTGATTCCCGGCTCAAGGTCCTTTTTCAATCCCTTTCCTAACCACTAGGCTATTTTCGCTGAGTCATTCTAGTCATTTTTAAACAATATTAAATAAATTAGAAAATTACCCATGGTAAGTGACCCCACCTATATTCAACTTCGATCCACTAGCCTCAATCGAGTTTGGTTTTTGGCCCTTCATAAAAAAAAGTTTGGGCACTCCTTCTAGTAGTAGGAATGAAGCAGATGCCAATTTGATGATAAACCAAATTCCACATGGTTAATATTACTGTTTTAATAATCATTAATACAGTATTTAATTACAGTAAAGGGTGTCACGATGGCGCAGTGGGTAGCATGATAATCTCACAGCAAGAAGGTCGCTGGTTCGAGCCTCGGCTGTGTCAGTTGGCATTTCTGTGTGGAGTTTGCATGTTTTCCCCATGTTCATGTTCCCCAGGTTTTCCTCCGGGTGCTCCGGTTTCCCCCACAGTCCAAAGAAATGCGCTATAGGTGAATTAGGTAAATGGGTGAATTTGTCCGTGATGTACTGTATGTGTGTATGTGTGTTTCCCAGTGATGGGTTGCAGCTGGAAGGGCATCCGTTGCGTAAAACATATGCTTGATAAGTTGGTGATTCCTTCCGCTGCGGTGACCTCAGATTATTAAAAGGACTAAGCTGAAAAGAAAATGAATGAATGATTAACTCATTGGAAAAAATAGTGTCTTTTCAGATCTGAAAACTAATAGTATATCACATATATGTGCATTTCATGATCAAAATACATATTTCTTTTTCCTGCAATGTTCACTTTCAATTTCATTTTATCTGTAATGCATAAATAGTGCTGGAAATGTACAATATTTACACACACACACACACACACACACACACACACACACACAAGCAGTTATGTGTGTGACCCAGGTAAAAGCTGACAGACGGTGCTGACAGACTGACTCCACATTTCATTTCTGGCACACAAACGCCCATCTCTCTCTCTCTCACACACACACACACACACACACACACACCGCACACACTGCACAAAAGCCCCCTGTCAGCGGTGCAAATCATCCTTCCAGCACCTTGGACAGAGCAATCTCCTCCATGATGATGTTCTGTCTGTGTAGCTGCAGAACTGTGTGTGTGTGTGTGTGTGTGTGTGTGTGTGTGTGTGTGTGTGTGTGTGTGTGTGTGTGTGTGTGTGTGTGTGTGTGTGTGTGTGTGTGTGTGTGTGTGTGTATGCGTGTGTGTGTTGGGGGTAGGTTTCTGCAGGCGTCATCTGTGCATTTGGCAACTACGTAAACTAATAAACCCTATTCAACAGAGGAGAAAATCAATGATCACTCTCGCTCTGAGCCTGTCTATATCCTATCAGCTCTCTCTTTAGCATTTAATTATACCCTACCGCGCATACACACACACACACACTTTCAAACACATGTGAAAAGACACTTTCAGAGGTTTGGATCAAATCAATCTTGCTTTGAGCTGAGGGAGGTTCAGCGAGTCTGTTTTAATGGCAGATGTTTGATTTTTTTTTCAGAGTGGCGTCAGGGACGGATGGCCCGCGTGGTCCTGCAGGATGAAGACATCACCACCAAGATTGAAAATGATTGGAAGAGGCTCAACACTCTCATGCACTATCAGGTACAATAGAAGACATGCACGATTATACATAATGTCATGGTGCCCTCTTCTGTCTGATTGAGAAGGCTTTAAAGGGGACAAATTTTCTTTGCTTTATTGAATAAAATATAGGCACATTTAATAGATGTAGTCATTTGTTATAAATAAATAATTTGGTCACTTTTTTTGATGGTCTGTTTGTTGAATTTAAGTAACATTGCATTGGCATGTCAACTTATTCTCATTAGATTATAAGTAGACTGTTAGGTTGGGGTTAGGGTTAGTGTAAGTTGACATGTACTTGCAAAGTTTCTTATAGTCAGTTAGTCTGTCTGTTGAAGGAGCAGTAACAACAGATATTAAGCAGACAGTCTACTAATATTCAAATGAACCATCAAAATAAAGTGTTACCAATAATATATGTTCTTAATAGGATTTGGCCTAAAAACGAAATCTTGATTTATTGAACATTTTGACTCCATTACGATTAATGGACGATTATTTTATTTGCATATTACAACTCGCATATTACAAGTGAGAGATTTTTGAATAAAGGGTGCATTACTTGATTTTAAAATACTTGAAGGAAACACTATCTACTATCTATTATTATTTATTGAATATCAGTGTTGAAAAACTGAAACTAAAACACAAACATTGCCTAAATTGGCAATTTAATTGTAAAATAAATTACTTGCACTTTTGGAAACAAAGTAAATTATTTTCAGTGTTTTTCATATTAAAAGTAGAAAATAAGCAGTATCTCTTCTAAATATAATATCTCCTGTATATCCTGTGAATAATATTTTAAACAGTGCATCTTCTGTAAACAAATATTTTAATGTAAGTAATCATTTTAATGTAATGAAAAATATGCTGCCTCAATGCATCTCTGGTGCAGTTTTTAATCATTGTCAATGAAGTGCAAAGTAAGGCTCAAGAATGGGTCCATCGCCAAACTCATCTTAAGGTCCACAGGACTCGACAATTGTAAACACTCACTTCATCGGCTCTCAGCGCCACCTGAGCTAGTCACCGCTACCAAACTGACCAATCACAGGGCTTTGCAAAGTAACGTTTTTGAGAGGTGCCCGACCAAACGCATGCACATGACTCCACAGAGAAAGTAATCAAAATAATAAACCTGGAAATTTTGATTGATTATAGGTGAATCTGAATGCAGATTTCGATTACTTTGTGATTAATCGCCCAGCCCTAGTTCTTCATCAAGTTTTTTTTAGTTTTCATATATAGACCATTTTGAAGCGATAGAATAGTATTCGAAAGGGAAAATTGCATATAAGAATTATTCGTAAATAATTATTCATTAATAAATAAATTCGTAAAATAATTATTCGTATTATTAGAGATCCAAAAATCCTAGTAGAAACCTCACTAATTATATATATATATATATATACCGTGTCTCAAAAAAATCCAAACAGAATTAATTCTGTCAGAATTTTGTCAAAAACCCTCCAACTTTAAATATATTTTGTAATTAGATGGCAAATAGATGAAAATATATGATATGTAAACATTTTCCACCTCACTTGGTTTAATCCAATTACCTTTTTTCCAGTATGTATTAAAGTCTTATGCAACCAAAAATAAATATCATCAGTACACCATTATTACATCATCAGCATTTTTATTATTTATTTATTTTATTTATTTTATTTATTTTATTTATTTTATTTATTTTATTTATTATTTATTTTTATTTTTTTTCTTTATTATTTACTTTTTAAAGGTAAGGCAAGGCAAACTTTATTTATACAGCACAATTTTACACAACCGTAGTTGATCCAAAGTGCTTTACAATAAAATAAACTAGACAATAAAACAAAAACAAACAAAAAATTAAAGCTGCAAGCAGCGATGATAGGGACCTCGCACCCGGGCTCACCGCCGCCCGGTGACCTTACGATGACAGAGAACAGCGAACAATATTAATTTAAGCCAATATATAAAAAAAAGATCTAAGAGAATCACAGATTTATGCCAAACTTCCTCCTGTCAGCAGGTGGCGCTATAACTGTGACTTAAGATTGGCATGTAGATGTCTTCCGGAGAGGAATCTTATCAACCATGTGAAGTTTCAGGCACATGGGACATTGTGTGGCTGAGTTATAAGCCAAACTACCTTCTGCCAGCAGGTGGCGTTATGACTGACTCAATATTGTTATGTGGATGTGTTCAGGAGCGGACTTTTATCAACCATGTGAAGTTTCAGGCAGATCAGAGATTGTGTGGAGACTGTGTTTTAAGACAAACTACATTCTGCCAGCAGGTGGCGCTATGAAAGACTCAATATTATTATGTAGATGTGTTTAGGAGAGGACTTTCATCAACCATGTGACATTTTAGGCAGATCTGACATTGTGTGGCCGAGTTACAAGCCAAAATTTCTTCTGCCAGCAGGTGGCGCTATGACTCTGACTCAATATTATTATGTAGATGTGCTCAAGAGAGGACTTTCATCAACCATGTGAAGTTTCAGGCAGATCAGACATTGTGTGGCCGAGTTACAAGCCAAACTACCTTCTGCCAGCAGGTGGCGCTATGACTGACTCAATATTGTTATGTGGCTGTGTTCAGGAGAGGACTTTTATCAATCATTTGAAGTTTCAGGCAGATCAGACATTGTGTGTTTGAGTTATAAGGAATTCCTGTTCCATGGCGAAGCGTTGAGGTTTGTCATGCCACCACAGACACGCCCCTCTGCAAAAACTCTAGATCTTCACAATATATCATCGCTAGAGCTTTCAGATGACACCACTCTATTTTGGTGCTGATACGGGAAAGTTTGTGGGAGGAGTTTGTTACAGTGTCAAACATGTCATTTCCTGTGGCCAGCAGGTGGCACTATAGCTGTAACTAGATATCGGCACGTAAACCTGATCAGGTCAGGACTGTTATTAAATGTGTGAAGTTTGAGGCAGATCGAATAATGCATCCCTGAGTTATAAAGACTTCCTGTTTTGTGGCGAATCATCAAAGTTTGCGAGGCCGCCACGGACACGCCCATCGATGAAAACTCTAAAGCTTCGCAATTTAACATCACCAAGGCTTTAAGATGACAAAACCCAATTTTGGTGTTTATCAGATAAAATCCCTAGGAGGAGTTCGTTAAAATACAACGCCTGGAAATGGCAAAAGCGCCACTTTATCGCCACAGGAAGTTAAAAATATCCGACTTCCTGTTGGGTTTGAGATATGGCTCCAAGAGACTTTTTCGTATGTTTTGCCATGTTTGAGGTGTGTGCCAATTTTTGTGCATGTGCGTGATTCGTAGATCGGGGGCTCGTCCATTTAATTTTTCTAGGTGGCGCTGTCGAGTCATTTTGCCACGCCCACTTCAATATTGTTATGTGGATGTGTTCAAGAGATGACGTTTATCAACCATGTGAAGTTTCAGGCAGATCGGACATTGTGTGGTTGTGTTATAAGGACTTCCTGTTCCATGGCGAAGCGTTGAGGTTTGTCATACCGCCACGGACACGCCCCTCTCTGAAAACTCTAGATCTTCACAATATATCATCGCTAGAGCTTTCAGATAACACCACTCAATTTTGGTGTTGATACGATAAAATTTGTGGGAGGAGTTTATAATTCCGTAAATCATGTCATTTCCTGTGGCCAGCAGGTGGCGCTGTAACTGTATCTGGATATCGGCATGTAAACTTGTTCAGGTCAGGACGCTTATCAAGCGTATGAATTTTGAGGCAGATCAGATAATGCATGCCTGAGTTATGACGACTTCCTGTTTTGTGGCGAATCGTCAAAGTTTGCGAGGCCACCATGGACACGCCCATCGATGAAAACTCTAAAGCTTCGCAATTTAACATCGCCAAGGCCTTTAGATGACAAAACCCAATTTTGGTGTCGATCGGATAAAATCCCTAGGAGGAGTTCGTTAAAATACAACGCCTGGAAATGGCAAAAACGCCACTTTTTCGCCGCAGGAAGTTAAAAATATCCGACTTCCTGTTGGGTTTGAGATATGGCTCCAAGAGACTTTTTCGTATGTTTTGGTGTGTTTGAGGTGTGTGCCAATTTTCGTGCATGTGCGTGATTCGTGGATCGGGGGCTCGTCCGTTTAATTTTTCTAGGTGGCGCTGTCGAGTCATTTTGCCACGCCCACTTCCGAAGCCCATAACAAACGTAAATTTTCGCCACTTCTGAGGCGTGTGCAAAGTTGCGTGAGTTTTCGGGCATGTTTAGCCCCTCAAAACCGCGATTCATTCCGCGGAAGAAGAAGAAGAAGAAGAATAATAATTAAAGCTGCAAGCAGCGATGATAGGGACCTCGCACCCGGGCTCACCGCCGCCCGGTGACCTTACGATGACAGAGAACAGCGAACAATATTAATTTAAGCCAATATATAAAAAAATCTAAGAAAATCACAGATTTATGCCAAACTTCCTCCTGTCAGCAGGTGGCGCTAAAACTGTGACTTAAGATTGGCATGTAGATGTCTTCCGGAGAGGAATCTTATCAACCATGTGAAGTTTCAGGCACATGGGACATTGTGTGGCTGAGTTATAAGCCAAACTACCTTCTGCCAGCAGGTGGCGTTATGACTGACTCAATATTGTTATGTGGATGTGTTCAGAAGCGGACTTTTATAAACCATGTGAAGTTTCAGGCAGATCAGAGATTGTGTGGAGATTGTGTTTAAAGACAAACTACATTTTGCCAGCAGGTGGCGCTATGAAAGACTCAATATTATTATGTAGATGTGTTTAGGAGAGGACTTTCATCAACCATGTGAAATTTTAGGCAGATCTGACATTGTGTGGCCGAGTTACAAGCCAAAATTCCTTCTGCCAGCAGGTGGCGCTATGACTCTGACTCAATATTATCATGTAGATGTGCTCAAGAGAGGACTTTCATCAACCATGTGAAGTTTCAGGCAGATCTGACATTGTGTGGCCGAGTTACAAGCCAAACTACCTTCTGCCAGCAGGTGGCGCTATGACTAACTCAATATTGTTATGTGGATGTGTTCAGGAGAG